GAAAGATGAGGCGTTCTGCTCCCGTACAGATTTACAGCCTTAGAAACCCTGTGCAGGGTCGCTATGAGTCAGAATAGACTCCACGGTACTTAACAACAACAACAACATATGCAACTATACAGGACTCTGTCTTCTCTACTGTTAACAAAAGATGCCATGTCCTTACCACTATCTAAGGCCAACCCCCACCATGTACTTTATATCTCATCCCCTCCAGCCTTTTCAAGGATTTTACTCCTGCAGTTTTCCACTTGGTGCTGCACCACTGTTTCCTCTCTCATGTAGCATTAATTCTACTCTCCCTAGATCCCATGTCCCCCAGTTTTCTATTTCTAGCCTTGAACTCTCCACTAGATTCCAACTGTTTACTTATTATCTTGAAATATTCACTAAGTATTTAAAACATAACATGGCCAACACAATTATTTGTTTCATCCCTCAATCCTGCTGTTGTCCTAATTTTACTAATCTCAATGATATCATCCAGCAACACTAACCATCCTTGATTTCTCCTCTTTCCCTTACCTCCCACATCAAATCCATCAACAAGGCCTGTTAGCTTTACCTCTGTATTTCCTGTAATCTAAGAATTATATGTATTTGTAGGAATGTAAAAAAAAAAAAAAAAATAGCACTACCAATTAAACTACAACTTGACATCAAATAAATTGCATCCCAATCTTGGAAATGTAAAAACATGAAAAAATCTCAGAACTGATAGCTACTATATATCCTTTTCCTCTCCCCTCCAATCCTACAGAATCTCAAGTTATGAGAGGCTTTTGCCTACCAGGTCTCATTTACTAAGTAAGAAATTTCTCCATTTAAAAAGTAAATTAAAAAAAAAAAAGTAAATTATACATATATACTTCTCTATGTGAAGATCTGAGGAAAAGTCAGTCTGATATGAATGTAAAAAAAATAAAACAACTAAAAATTCTACCTGCATTAATGAAAATACAGAGCTCAGATCACAGGAAGTAATAGCCCCAACTTGCAGCTAGGATGGGTGTAGAAGCCGGCAGGTTGTTGACTAGCCTCAAGGACTAATCTCCAAACAGAAGTCCAGGAATTCAGTTTTACCAGTTTTTCATCAAATCTTAAAAGATAGTGACTCTTATTAACTAAATTCACAAGGAATTAAAAAGAAACAAGAGTGTCGTTCACCTCTAGGGATGCCAATTATCTGTCCTGGGCACTCCCTATTTGGGGGCAAGTGAATGAGGGTCAGAGAGAACTACAATTTTATTTTTGCCATGTTTTACATACACAGTGACATTGATTATATTCTTAGATTGTACAATCATTCTCACACTCCTTAATGAGGGAGTTATTTTCCCCTCATTAACATAAACTCACTGCCCCCCCACCCCCAGGCTCCTATGTAACCCTTTGAGCTGCAGTTGTCAATCTGATCCCATGTATTAGTTTTATAAAGAGCCCAATGCTCAAGGCAAACCTTTTTTTTAACTAGTTAAATTAAATTACTGTTCAGTTTTAAGACAACTTCAGGGGATAATTTTTGTTTTAAGATTTAGAGCTTATCTCGACTTTTTACATTTTTGAACACAAATATTAATTTTTAACTGAATGCTGCAAGAAACATCTTTGTATGTTTAATTCTTTCAATAAGTTGAATTTTCCTTAAGACGGATTCCCAAAAGCATGCTCTTAGAATTGTTAGGTACCAGTCATGTCAATTTCCAACTCATAGCAATCTCACATGACAGAACAGAACTATTCCATAAGGTTTTCCAGGCTGCAATCTTTACAGGAGGATAGCACCAGGTCTTTCTCTCATGGAGCTGTTGAGTGGGTTCAGATCATCAATTTTTTCAGTTAGCAGACCATTTACACCACCAGGGTTCCTTGACAGCTCTTGCAAAGCCAACCAACACCAAACCCACTGACATGTAGTCAAGTCCAAGTCATAGCAACCCTGTACAGGGCAGAGTAGAACTGCTTCTTAGAATTTCTGATACAGTAAATATTTATGGGAGCAGACAGTCTCATCTTTCTCCTGCAAAGCATATGGTGGGTTTGAACCACCAACCTTGTAGTTAGCAGCCCAACACTTAGGCCACACCATCACCAGAGCTCCTTATAGCTCTTCAGACATTTACTTAATTGTTTTCAAGGGTTGTATCAGTTTACCATATCACCAACATCGTATGATTAAATACTTTAAATTTGGTAGTTTAATCAGCAAATAGTTTTTAAGTTAGCACTTCATTTTATTAATTTTTAAGATGTATGTTTTATGTTTGCCTCATTTTTTTATTAATCACCTACCCAATTTTAATGACTATCATGAAATGTTTACCAAACGTTTTGTGACTAACAATAAAAAACAATGAAATGGGGAGTGAGGAACATTTTGTCCTTGTTCCTCCTCATACTCCCCAGAGATAAGCAATGTAACATATTCTACTAGAAAATTTTTAAGCGTAAGCATGTATGGTAGCTTAGCGGTTACGAATCAGGCTGTGAACCGCAAGGTCAGCAGTTTAAAACTACCAGCTGTTCCGCAGGAGAAAGATGAGGCTTTCTGCTTCCGTAAAGAGTTACAGCCTCAGAAACCCTGTATAGGGTCGCTATGAGTCAAAACCGACTCCACGGCACATCACCACTACCACCACCATGTATGCCAGCAAAAATCAAAAGTAAACATTTTCTCCTTTCTTTACAAATGCTATTATGCTATATAGACTATCCTGCTTTCTCCCTATTTCCAGTCTACCCACCTTCCCACTCTTTCAACTTTGTCCTTATTATTGCTTTTTTTATTTTGAAAGATTGACTATTCCATTCTTCATAGAAGTATGCTAGAGTTGTTGTCCCCCCTAAATACCTATCTACTATTTAGCTAAAAGTTGGACCATAAGGATGAATTCCTTTCCAGACCTGAAGGTTGGTCAGGGGCCACAGTCTCAAGTTCCTCCCATCTCTTTCTGACCAGTAAGCCTGGTTTTGTTTTTGTTTTTAATCATTTTGAGTCCTGTTTCACATATTCTGCTGCTCTATCTGGGACTTTATAATGTGATCCTTCCCTTTCAGAACAGTTAGTAGTGGTAGCCAGGCACCATCTAGTTCTTCTGGTCTCAGTCTTGGAAACATGCAGTTCTCTCGTCCATTGGACTAACTGATTCCAAGCCTTTCAATTCTTATCATTCTTCTTACTTCTGCACATGGAAAGACCAAAAGCTGCACCTTAAATGGCCGCTCATGAGTTTTTAAGCTCTTACAAAACTTTTTGAAGTCCCCTCACATATCTTAGTAGTCTTTCCATTATCAGTATACATAACTCTCACATTTTTTTAAATGAACCATAATTTATTCAACTAGGCCCTGAGGACATTTAAGTTCCTTCCAAATTTTTGCTATTACAAACAATATTGCAAACAATGTCCTTATACATTGGTTATGTAATGGTATATTCTGTGTACTGGTGTGAATCTAGGAATAATTAAATCAAATACCCTTCTTCCACAGAAAAGTATAAAACCCAAAAAAGCCTAGATACAGAGTCCTGGTGTGATGCTGAAGGATAAGCACTGGACCACAAATTCGGTTTAAACTGAAGGGTCGGTGGTTCAAATTCACTAGCCACTCCTTGGAAATTCTATGCAGGATCGCTGAGTCAAAACAGACTCAAAGGCCCTTAACAACAATATAATTAAAAGCTGAATAAATTTTAATGTCTATGTATGTATTTGTATTTCTTTCCCTGAGAATCCATTGCCTTTGTACTGATTTTGACTCATAGTGACCCTAAAGGACAGAGTAGAACTGCCCCTATAGTGTTTCCAAAGTTGTAAATCTTTATGAAAGCAGACTGCCACATCTTTCTTCTATAGAGTGGGTTAGTCTGTTTGAACTGCTACTTTTCAGTTAACAAGCAAATGCTTAACCACTGCATGACCAAGTCTCCTGAGAACTATCTCTTGTACTTTTTCTATTGGTTTATTCACCGTTATCTAAGTTCTTTGTAGACTAAGGAAACTAGCTTTTTATCATAAGTAATACAAACATTTCTCCAGGTTTTTAAAAATAATTTTTATGCTTTTGGGCTTGATATCAAACTTAGACCTTTCCCATTCCAATATTATTGAGAAAAAAAATCCATCTATGGTTTCTTCTAGTATTCATACTGTTTTTTATTATTTAATATTTGATCTATGTATAATTTATTGATATAAGGAATGATAAGAATCCAACTTTTATTTTTTCCAGAGTCAATTGTTCTCAAATTATGTTGAGTAATCACCCATCTTTTCCCTACTGATTTGAATTGTTTATATCGTAAAATACATTTTCATACATATGACTCTATTTCAGACTCTATTCTGCAGGAGCTCTGTGGCTCTGCAGTGAACACTGGACTGCATACTACAAGGTCAGCAGTTCGAGCCCACCAGCTGCTACACGGAAGAAGATGAATCTTTCTGCTCCTGAAAGATTGACAGCCTCAGAAATCCTATACAGGACTGATACAAGTCGGAACCAACTTGGCAAAATTCCAGAAAAGAAAAGATTTACAGGAAACAAAATACTTTTCCTAAAATATCTGAGTTACCATACCCACTCAATGCCACTGAGTCAATTCTGACTCATAGGGGCCCTATATAAGGTTTTTAAGACTATAAATCTTTACAGGAGCAGACAGACAGCCTTATTTTTCTCCCTTGGGGCAGCAGTTGGATTTGAACCGCCAACCTTTCAGTTAGAAGTATATCCCACAGCATCACCAGGGATGTGGCGCTGTAGGATAAGCACAGGACTGCTAACCTCACAAGGTCTGCGGTTCAAACCTACCAGTCACTCCTCAAAAACCCTATATAGGGTTCACTATGAATAGGAACCAACTCGATGGTTATAAAACAACAGGTTATACACTCTGCAGTTATTTCTAAGTGAAATAAACATATATGCTTTGAGAAAGTTGTTTTGCCAACAGAATAGGATTCGACAAAGGGGAAATGGAACTTTTCATATCTCACCGGTTCTCATACTGGATATGCGATCCACTAGCTTCTTCTTCTTTGGACATTTCCATGTCTGTAGTCAAGACAAAGACATACTTGCTTAAAAAAAACTAGAACCCAAAATCAGTTAGAACATTTCTACATTTTGCATTTATCTTTGAGCAGCTACTTCACTCTAATTTAAAGTCTAAACTTGGCTTTTGTTCAAGTTGCTAAGTGCTGTGGAGTCAGTTCCATAAAAACTCATAGCGACTCTGTATAGTACAGGGTTTCCGAAGAGCTGCTTGTGAGTTTGAATCGCCGACCTTGAGGTTCAAACCAGCCTTGCAGTCCAGCGCATTATCCGCAGCGCCACACCAGGACTTTGCTTTAGGAAATAAGCATTATATAAATGTGTTTTGTTGCAGAATTTTCCTGGCTGGAGAAAACTAGTGACCCATCATCCCACTTTATCTCAAGGTTTTTTGCAGATCAGAAAGTCCAAAGAATACTGCACCCCCTGATGTTGTCACCTCAAATCAACCAAGGGGGTATGCAAGAAAATCATTTATTAGACCCTAGCTAAATTTCCTCACTAAAGGAGCTCTGGTATCGTAGTGGTTAGGAATCGGGCTGCTAACATCAAGGTCGGCAGTTCGAAACTACCAGCTAGTCCGCGGGGGGGTGGGGGTAGGGTCAAAGATGAGGCTTTCTGCTCCCATAAAGATTTACAGCCTCGGAAACCTGTGCAGGGTCACTATGAGTCGGAACTGACTCCATGGTACTGAACAACAAACAACATAATGCATTAGGCGCTGGAGGATAAGCACTGGACTGCAAGGTCGGTTTGAACTGCAAGATCGGCAGTTCAAATACACTAGCTGCTACTCGGAAGCCCTATATAGGGTCGCTATGAGCCAGAACCGACTTTGCCGCACTTAACAACTCCTATAATCCCACACCCAAACAAACTTCTACCTCCAACACCCAACCATTCCCACCTCACCCGTCCAAGAGGGTGTTCAACACTCAAGCCTCAGACTCCATTCCCAACATCCTCCGCGTACCCCCTATTCCCCTCCTCCAGCCAATATTCCACCAATCCCCGCCCTCCCCACCATATCTCCTAGACCTCCACACTCCTGCTCACGCTTCCCACGAGCGTTTTCTACCAATCAGATTTCCATCCCCCCTCCCCCAACACATCCGTCACCACCCCCCAACTCTACGTCTGTGCGTTTCCCATCAGTCTCCCACCAATAGAACTTCTACCCCTCACCCCCTCACATCTTAAACCTCCTACTCTCCCACCACCATCTTATCCC